AGTTATTTCGTTTTTATAAAATATCACAAAGAACATCAAATTCATCTTGTTAAAACTATTTTATTAAGGATAAAGGACAAGGCTCAGGCACTTCGTGGGAAAAGCATAGTAAAAATACAACGTCGTAAGGATCTCTGTCCGAATGCAAACATGATAAAGAATTCCACGACAGTATTTTGCACATGCAGCTTCTTAATTTCATTTTTGAATTTACATATGTTAATGTAGCGTGACTGTACCGTTGGCAAAGTTGGTTACAGCGACAGTATATTGATTTGAGGTCATGAGGCGGAATCCTTGTCTGAGCTCATTACAATTTTTCACTTATAACACTGTTGTAAAAGTTCCGGAGCCCTATTTTTTCTTTTCAAAAATTATTATTGCAATATTTGAGATCTTTAATTTTCTCTCTATGTTACCAGCATTATCTTTTAACATGCACAACATGGACGACTTTCTACAAAGTTATACGATAAGCGAGATGATATCGATTTACTTATCACGAACTTTCCCTTTCTTGATAGTAATTTACATTTCGTAGTTGATTCAATTTCAAGAGATTGGTTCGAATATCGTTATTGCTGTGCTAAATGTCGATTGCTTTCCCTTTCGAGAGATACGGTTTGATGAAGACTTAGCAAGTTTTATCTATCTCGATCTCGGAAACATAACAAGTAAACCACTTGTATGTATATAGAATCAATTGCAACATTCTAAAAACGAAAAAGAAGCAGATATATTAATATTAAGTACAGGAAAGTTAAAGATCGTAAATTAAAGTCATCATTCTATGTTGTTCTTTTGCAGCATAAAGTCAATCATAAAATAGCGTTTTACCTCTCGCTGAAACGCATTGAATAAAAATAGTTTTAAACTGGAATTTATTTTATACCCTACCCGCTATCCACGTTTTAAGTATTTTTCCGTCGAGCTTCAAAAACAGTAATTATCTTCAGCTGTTTTCACATTTCACGTTTTTTTCGACACATGAAAGATTTTATTTCAATAAACAAAATTGGATTTTACCTAAATAAATATCATCTTGAGTTTGGACGTCTAGAAATTTACATGTTCTGAATTTGATAACATTCTTAAATTTCAACGTTCCACACAAAGGATCACGCCTAGTATCTATAAAATAATCAAAAAAAAACAACACCATTTAATATGGTAATTCAAGACAATGTTGCAGTGTTTCTTCATTGCATGAACAGTTACATTTTCTTTTAAATACGAGGGAAAAAACTCATATCCTGTTTTTAGAATTAAAAATGTTATACAGTTTGGGTACAGGAACCTGTTTCAATTGATTTAGTATATTAAAGTATCGGTAAATATATTCGTTATATTTCAGAAAATGATGAAATTTATCGCATTGGTCCTAGCTATTTCTTTGATGCTAATGACATCACTTCCGGAGAAAGTACAGGCGGGCGACGACTTTGCATGCATCAAATCGTGCAGGGATGGTCTGACCAACTGCTATAGTGACTGTGACAGTTTTAAACCGCTACGAAGAGTTTTGTGCAAATCAGGTTGTCTAATAGCATCGGCAAGCTGTAATATTGGTTGTCACAGTGACAAATGATCAACATTTGTTCGGGAACTGCCCCGGTACCATTAGTATGTCATTAACCAATGACCAATAAAGTTTCAATGTAAAACTAGTAGATATTGTTTATTTTTATTACTTAGCATTATTTAGTCTGGAAGATAACAAAATCATTAAATGCTTTGTCATATTCCAGAACCTGGTGATAACTCACGTATACATATTAAAAAAGCCAAGTAATAATCTAATGATATATTATTTGGCAGTTTTTATAACTGTTGACGATTCGGGTACATGTTTGCCCTTGCAGATGTGATCACAATAATCTTGTATGTTTTTTTGTTATGGTTGCCAGTTACACTTTAGTTTTTGGGATAATGTGGGATAATAGGCTAAAATAGTTGGAAATTAAAAAAAAACCTAAATTGCCTTCACTACTGTTGAAATGGATTGTAAAAGAGCTGCTAAATTTTAGGTGTTGTGGAAAGAAATGATTATAGTTTTGCTGTGAGTAAAAACAATATGAAATTATTTTAAATATGAAAACCACGCAAATGTAATCAAATCACTGTCATAACTATTATAAGAACGGTATTTCCCTTTGACTTTTACGTTGATTAAAGTTAATGCACATATAATATTTAACATCATCTTTATTTTCAACAACGCTATCGATTTCAATTTTAGATGTTTGTTAATGTTTCTATTAATGGTTAATAATACAAATTACTGCTATGAAAAGGTCTGCATAAGGTTTGTGTGAAATGCATTTGTAAAGCAAATATAGCAATATAACGCTTCTGCATTCTTTCATTTTCGTTGATCAGATCCGATAAGATAATGTGAATATCAGTCAAGAATTGTATCTTCCCATGAAACTGTATATAGACAACCCCTCTAAATCTGCTGTCTTGGAAATAGCCTGTTTATCTTATTTTGAAACCTGTTCAAATGTCGTTTGAATTGTAGGACCTATGACCGTTTTTTTTCGATGTATTTAGTTGAAACAATTTCTTAATATTTCTGATGTTCGATTGTCGTAGTAATTTTGGTGTGCTATGATTTTTAAAAGTAGATTTATTAATTAGACTACCGGCATTGGTATTGAGAACGATTTAGTGCCAGCAACTTAAGTATAAATATTATTTGGACAGTTCATTAAAAACCAATGTCCAGTCAGAAATCAAATTTACTCATTAACAAGCATTAGTTGCTGTGCCGTTAAAGTTTTGTGAATTTACATCTTTTGCAGCATATCTAATATAAAAGCTTTACAAAACTGAATGAATCAAAATACTATGTTAACTCTAAAAATCATGTTATCTCCCCTTGACTGGTAACAGTTATCAAATGGACCGGCGTTATGTTGTATGCAAAAAAAAATATCAGCTTTATAACTTTTATAAAGAATAAATATCAATAGATGAAATATGATTTAACGGTGTCTTTCTTGTTGTTTTGGTTTATTTAAGGTTACTGATATGTTGAATTTATGTTCCGATTCTGATATGAAGTAATTTTTATTGTCTATGTATTGACATTTTAACACCGAAAAAAAATGGAAAAAATTAGCACAGCCTCATCTCAAGCATCAACATGAATGGTCTTTGCTCTGTAATTAATAAGAGATTATATTACAAAATCTAAATCAATTATCAGAGATGATAAATAGTATCTGGTCCATTTAATATGCATTAAAATGATAGAAGTGAATTCGTGTATGTAGGGGTTCATGCATTGAGTCTAGTAGACTTCCATATACCAAAACATTGTTTCTACAATTATATATTTTCNGTTACAAAACTGTAATGTACATTACATTATACGGTCAACTAATAGATATGAAGTTAACAATTTAACATAGCGACTTTAATAGGGACAACATTGTAACATACTGTTTGTCTTACCTATTCCCGAAAGGTAGTTATGCGTTGGTGGTTGAATACCTCACAGGTACGGAAGTGGAGACGACGAAGTCGCTCGGGATATAGGGCTCCCACTGAAAAAGGTAGTTACAAACTGTTTTTATATCGATCAATATACAGTTGTCATTATGTTTTCTTATCTTTAAAAAAAATCGTATTATGATTTATTTCCTGCATCAGATATCAGTATTTATCATATTATAAATACAAAAGACGGAAATTTGTAAATACGATACTGAAACAATTCCGATAGCCATGTCACCCTGTCGGGACAAACGTCTCTATCCCCAGACAGATATACTTATCTGCCTTGAAACTGATTTAATTGTTATCTAGGTAGTCAAAGCATTGTTTAAATATGACCACGTAGGGAGTTTTCGTGTCTCCGATAATTGTTACATCCAAACTTCATTTGAAACAAAATGGCAGTTTTGTAATGAGTCGAGGGTATTTCTATATAGCATCTTTGATGTCTAGAATTTCTGCCCTTTTTTGTTTTTCTCTCTCATCTATTGGATTAAGTCATATAAACAGTAAATGCACCGTGTGGTAACTTTTGATTAAAACTTCATACAACTGTGTATGACATTGTTCTTTCAATGTAAGGTGGTCGTTTTGCCTATTTACTAGCACAATGTGTAACGGGGGAAAACTATATATATATTTTTTAGAAAGATCTGTCGAAATCTAAGATGGTTGCGTAGCGACATTTTTTGGGTTTTTTTTCTGACCCGCCTTAAAATGAAACATAACAATTAAGATCTCGGAAATGTAAATATGTCCAGTTGTTTTTTAGGAAATAGTGAATACAAAAATGAACTGACAACTTTAAAATGACTGTCTTGTGGTCATCCTGCTTTCCCGATCAGTCCCGAAAATTAATATGCATGAGCGGAGACCATTGGTTACCTACATCTGAAATTTTAAAAATTAATCTCACAAGAACGTTATCAGAGATAGCGCGAAAAAGCTTTAACTATTTTCGATCAGTTTTAAAGTCGACTTGCCAATTGACTATAGGGACAGTTCCTGAGAAATTCGAAACACATTCCTCGATTTAATTGTTATCTAGGTAGTCAAAGCATTAGTTGTCATTGTTTAAATATGACCACGTAGGGAGTTTTCGTGCCGATAATTGTTACATCCAAACTTCATTTGAAACAAAATGGCAGTTTTGTAATGAGTCGAGGGTACTTCTATATAACATCTTTGGTGTCTAGAATTTCTGCTCTTTTCTGTTTTTCTCTCTCATCTATTTGATTGAGTCATATAAACAGTAAATGCACCGTGTGGTAACTTTTGATTAAAACTTTATACAACTGTGTATGACATTGTTCTTTCAATGTAAGGTGTTCAGTATTTTTTGAGAAATAGCGCTTTCAATCTTTCACACTCAAAACTCCAAGATGGCTACCTTTCGGCCTTTTAGGTTCCCGGATCAGTCCCTAAAATCGATATTCGTAGCTAGTGATCATGAGGAGCCTACATGTATAACTTACAAAATATTCTTACGGCACTATCCGTTCGAGAATAGCGCTAACTTACAGGGATTTCTGATCAGACCCGAAATTCAATATGCGGAACATAGAAAACAAGAGGCCAAATGGGCCAGCATCGCTCACCTGGTATTAATCTCACACTTGTAATCTTAAAAGTGATCTAAATTAAGGCTACAGTGGCAAATATAAGTATTTTCGACTATAAGTCATTTTAAAGAACCTGTTAAAATATTCTAAATCATTTGACACCTGTGAATTTGAAAGTCAAACAAGGTCATAACGTTGAACACAATTTATAGCCCTTAATCCCAGCATGCAATTTGCAAAATATCACCACCCTAGACCCTTTCTTTAATGAGACTATGTCATTTAAAGGTTTATACATATCTGACCAAATGTGATCTTGAAAGTGGGTCAAAGTCATTCAAATGACTTGATAGTCTTTCATCCAAGTGTGCAACTGCCCACATATCAACATTCTGGGCATCCTGGTTATTCAGCAGAAGTCATTTAAACATATTTGACTCCATTTATTTGATCAAAATTGATAGCCCTTCATCATAGCATACTACCGGCCATATATCATCACCCTTTTTTAATTCAAGGTCATTTATTCGAACAAACTTAGTTACCCTAAATCCTAGCATACTACTGGCCAGTTATCATCATCTTGAGAACATATTTGATCCCTGTGACCTTGAATAAAATTCAAGGTCATTCCTTTCAACAACCGTGGTAGGCATTCATCTCGGCATGTTACGGGCTAAATATTATCATCCTTAGAATTTTGATTATTCAGAAGAAATTGTTTAACGGTTTAAATATATTTGACCCCTGTGACCTTGAATATAGGTTTAGGTAATTCATTTTAACAAACTCGGTAGCCCTTTATTCTAGCATGCTACTTGCATATCAACATTCTGGGCCTATTGGTTATACCTTTCCAGAATACCTAGTCGTGTTCTCCTTGTACTTTTTCAAGGATCTTGATTGTTTTTAGAAGTGTGTTTGTCCTTCTCTATTCTCATTATGTTAGCATTGATAAATGTTAATGTTTATGGATTAACACTTATCAACTTCAAAGTCCAAATTGATGTAGAGATAGATGGCGTACGAATATGCACTTGGCACATCTGAGATAATAACGCAATTTGCTTCAATAACTACTTAATAAAAACCATACAGTAAATAAAAATAACACCATACGAACCCGGACGCCGACGCATGGCTGCGCATAAAGTGCACCTGATGCAGTCTCCTGAATAGTAATAGTATTCGAAGAAAGCTGCAGCAAGGTTATAGCGCGTCTTCCACAGTATATATTCAGGGAATGTAGAAAACCTCTCTAAGAGATTGGTCTCACCGACGACACGTGTGTTGCCCAACTGTAATTATAGAATAGTAAAATCAATAACGTTTCAAAAACACAAAACCTTAAAAAGTAAATATATTTGACAGCAAAGCGTTAAATATTATTTATTATTTAGACCTTTGTGCCGGGGAGAGGTGGTCATTTCCCTCAAAAAACATTAAAAACCTTTAATTCAATGTCCAAATCACTTTTTTGTTTTATCTTAGACAATTGTCCTGTATTAATATGAAGTTTGTATTTGTGTATTCACACATGGTAACCAGTTAATATGATGGGTGCCAATTTGCGGCTTCTAGTGTCTGTCGCCTTTTTTTAAACTTTGTTGCATAATTTACTTCTTTGCATCAAAATGAAATTGCTTTGTTGTAATAAAGGTTTATTTGAAAGACATCAACTGGATCGGCTTCTTGTCTAAAATAATGAATTATAATGGAATGAACAGAAATAGCAAATAAATATTCATGAAATAATTAATAATTCTTGTAAATATTTAAATATGTCGAAATTTCGAATATTCTACATTCCGTCAACACAGATAATAGACACTGCAGGGGTTGAGGTCACTGTCTTCAAAGTAATATTCGAGTATTTCGTTAAATCAAAAAACTAAATGCAAGTGCTAGAATTCGTCATCTTCCTATAAAAACTTGATAATTTCACTTTCAATAAGTTGTTTGATATGCACAGGCTACGATTAAATTTACAAATGCTATTTTACTCTTTAAGCAGAAAGTCAGAAATATTGGTCACTTAATTCGAAAACGACAACTTTACCGGTTTCAGAATTTAAAGATATTTTCCCACACAATGAATATATATGTAGCACAATTTATGAATAATAACATTTGGTCGACTTACACTATAAAGCATAACACGAGGAATGACACATTGTGTCAAATGATTTTTAAGCTCACTTATTTTTACTCCAGTTTTGAAAAAGAACCCAGTACTGGCATCACAGCTTCTAGTCAATAAATACATATTTGCTATCGAATGATCAACTACACCATAGCAGCAACATTATAAGGAAACAAATTTGCTTTAGATTCAAATAGTATTTTTTCAGGCTCTTGAGTAGGTATAAATTCATTTGCTGAGCAGGAGTAATTCCGTGAGCTCCCATTTGGCCGAATAAGTCCAAAGGGAGCTGACTTCATCATTTTCAATACAGAAAGCAGTCTGGCTAAGGTGTTTCAAATTATCAAAAAATCGCTGTGTGGGCGACTTTTAGCATTGGAGTGGACCCCATCTTACACTCATTTTCCCCTTTTTGGCCCAGCCTGTCTGGTCCCAGGGGTAATGCAGGATCTTAATGTTTAAATCAATATTATAACTATCTCATCACAATTATTCGAACAAAGTTCGAATTACTTTCTACTGAAAATAGTCAAATTACATTCAGAAGTGTCAATTTTTTTACCTTTTCTCAAAGGTAAACAGTTGTACTAAGAAAAATGGAATTGTCTTTTATTGGCTATAGCTCCAATGGATCTTTATCTTCAAAGACTTTTTTATCCTGGTACATTTTAGTATGAGGAAGAAGATTTTCTGAATTTTAAACACTTTCACCCATTTGGGCCCAACCCATCTAGCACCATCGGGCGAGGCATTACATTATTTTCTCTTACCATTTAATTGCCATCTCATTATAATTATCCCCACCAAGTTTGAATATTTGCTGAGAAAAAAACAAATATTCCCAAAAGTGTTATTTCTCTAGATAAAATATAGTAATTTCCTCCCCTCCTAAATGGAGAGCAGATGTCCCAGGGGTCATGAAATTTAAAATTTAGTTAAAGCACATTAGGACCTTTCTATTCATGAAGAGTATTTGATTGTAGTACATCTGAGACTGAGGAGATGGTTTTTAAACTTTTCACCATTCGCCCCAGTTTAGCCCATCCCCTCAAGCCCCTAGGGAAAGACGGGATCTGATTTTTCTATATCATTTGATTGCCATCTGGCATCAAAATCATTCTAACCAAGTTTGAATAACTTCAAATGGCTCAGGCGACCTAAAACGTCTAGGGTGGTAATATTTGGCTAGTTGCACGCTGGAATGAAGAGCTTTAAACCTTATTCAACTTAATAATTTGTATGATTGTTATTCACAATCCAGAGCTTATAAATCATATAAGAGAGAGAATATATTTATTGAAATTATCTTATTAAACTTTGAGTTGGTTTACTTAGCAGGTAGTAGTTACAACCAAACGTGAAGGCACATTAAGTTTCAAAAAGGTTCTGATCAGAAACTGGACAAGACAAAATATAGGTGGCAGACCACGTACGAAGGACGTCTTAATCACTCTTGTTCAAATTAGGTAATGTTTTTGTTTTTAATCAAATTTATCAAAATTCAAATTTTCACTTTTACAACATGAAGCTTTAATGTAATTTCTATAATGTAACAATTCTATCGAGTATTTTTATCATTTTTTGAACCCTGCTACGGTTTTGGCCCTGGATTTAATATCCTCATGCAAGATGGCTCTCATTCATTCATTCTTTCATTCAGTCGTTTACTTATTCATTCAATTGTTAACTTATTCATTACATCCTTTTTTTTTTACATTTATTCCTTGTTTTCATTCAATTATACATTTATTATTTCCATTAATTCTTTCATTGTTTCCTCTCATTCACTCATTTCATCTATTTATTCATAAAGTTTGAAGTTTTCTAATTAAAAATATATGCAAAGATACTATAAAATACTTGGCAAGTGCACTAAGACATGATACAGATGAAACACCGGCACCGGAATCACCTCTAGTTAACATACGAGGGTATCAAACATTTCAAACTAATAAGGGGAGAGAACTACGTTTTAAGGAAAACCAAGCATCCAAGTTATATTTAGAATAATAATGTATTAAAGTGATTATTAATAAAACAAAATGTTCGAATGGACCGCATTTATTTTGGGAGATTAATAGAGATTTATTTTTCATCGCAACAAACTTCTCTTCTTCCATTGTTTGTGTAAAAATAATCTTACACATTTCTTTAATGCGATTTCAGTATTTAAGATGTTTTATTAGTATCAGAAAACGGTTTAATAATAGTCCAATCTTTGAATTTCCAAAAAGGATATCTATATCTTGAAAATCAATATATGGCTGTCTATCATCATGCTCAGTAGACCAAACATTAAATCATCCAATAATCTCTGTACATAATAGCATTGAGTAAAGCTGTGTTCCAATGTTTCCTTTTTTCTGTTACAGAATGTACATAATTGATTTATTACTAATTTCATTTTACTAGTACTTTATTAGTTGGTAGAATCCTATGATTGATTTTGTATTGGAAAGTTTGTAATTTTGTTGCCATTGTACAGTTAAATGCATTCATATTAATATCTTGCCAGTTCAAATCCTCTTCCATCTCAAAAACGGATTTCCATTCTACTTGTCTATGTTTAGGCATTATTATGACATCTGTAACAAACTTTCTTTATATTTTGTTTATGTATGTTTGCTTCCAGTTATCGATCTTGTTTACTACGAAATACTACTGAATAAAGTTTAAAGAAGGAAAAGATTCCAAATGATTGAAATCTCTAATTATCACATTATGGAAAAGATCCCCAAATGTATCAAGACCTCCTTGGGTTTTCCACTGTCTACAGAACTTCATCTTTTCAAATGGTACGAAATTCACTAAATTCTTACTGGGTTATTCTGACAAGGTATCAGGTTCACTCTGGATCTAAGACAAACATTGAGGAGACCTCCAAAAAGGATTTCTAATATGCCTGCTTCTTTCAGTTTTATACCACCCATATCATACAGTAAGTCTACTTCAAACGGTAAAATTTCATTTCACAATGCTATCCATGCTCTTATGAATCCTCAAATATTTTTTTGTCCATTTAATTTTAGATATTTAATGAAAGATGAAATATGAGTCATGTTAAGACCTCCATTTTCTTTACAGGCAATCATAGTATCCCGCTTTACCTTGTCAGTTTTAAAATTCCATATTAAACCAAATAAAATTGTATTCAACCTGTTTATATATAGTTTGGAAGGGTTTGGCAGCATGTACAAATTTTGGTATAATAAGTTTTGTTTATAATTTTAATACGCCCAATTCAAGTAAGATCTCGACAACTCGTTTATCTTCAATCCGGATACCCTGGCAAAATATTTTCATATTCGGACTGCAGTATATAACGATTGACATCAAGCAGAATATAGGTACATCAGCATATTGGCCCAGAAGGAATAAATTACCGGCTAAAAATATCCCTTTAATATCATTCGATTCCATCGCTAGAGCTAAAAGTTCAACCCCCTAGTACAAAAATATATGGTGAAAAGGGGTCAGCTTGACCACAACCTCGACCTAATTCAAAGTAAAAAGACAAGTGACCTTTATTAATTATGCAGCTTTTGGAATTTCTATAAAAACTTCAAACCATTTACATAGTGACTCTCCAAAGTTGAAAGATGTTAAAGCCTTGTTTATAAAACTCCACTTAATCGAATCAAATGCCTTTTCAAAATCTAAGATAAATAGGAGTCCAGACTGATTATTTTCTTCTTATAAGTTCATTATACCAAACAAAAGCCTAGTGTTATCCACTATAAACCTACCTTTAATACAACATGTTTGTGTTTCACTGATATTTTTTGGAAGAACATATTTAATTCTATTGGTTATAGTTACTGATGCTATATTTTAGTGTACATCTAATAGACAAATCGGCCGCTTATTTTTTAAGTGTCGCCTATCCTTATCTTGCTTTTGAAAATCAGACAATTGACCTGTATTGTAAGCATAATAAATTGATCTGCATAAACAATTCCTACGTCTTTTCAAAAAAAAAAAAGATATATAAATTCACACTGAAACCGTCGGACCCAGGACTCTTCATTTTATCCATACATTTCAAAACTTGTGTTAACTTTTATTAACGAAATGTCTTTTCTCCAAATCATACAAATTTTAGCTTTCAAAACTTTAAAATATATTTTATCATTTACACACAAAAAATGTGTTATT